TACCTTCCCAAAGTGTTCCCTATTTTTCTACATGCATTTTTTTAACATGCTTTCAACCTGCTAGGTTGACAGAAGCTGGGACAAGTAACTGGAGCTCACTCCATTATGTGGCGTTAGGGATTCGAACTGCTGAATTGCTGACCTTTCTGATCGACAAGCTCAATGTCTTAGCCACTGAGCCACCGCGTCCCTCAATCTACCACATTTTTCAGAGTATAAGACGCACCTTTTTTCCTCTAAAAAGAGGCTGAAAATCCGGGTGCATCTTATACACCATTTCTATCTCTATTTCTCTCTATATATTCCTCTACATACCTACCTATCTACACACTCTCTCCCTCCCTCCCTCCCTACTGTATTCCCCCCCCCTCTCTCTCTCCCTACCTACCTACTATTTTTTTTAAAAAATGCCTCTTCAAAACCTGGGTGCGTCTTATACTCCGAAAAATACTGTAGTCTATAGGATCTCACATCAAAGTACTTATTGGATGTGATATTGCTTAACTTTTTCAGCTTATACATCAAGATCAGCCAGATGCTGCCATCTTCTGGGGTTTAAATATAACATGTTTTCCCCAAGTTTAGCTCAGTTCTGTTATATATAATAACAGAACAGAATAACAGGCATCCTGTTTCCACATTAGCCAGCCAGACACCTTTGTAAGGCTAGAAAAACAAGTTCTATTTGCATCTCCTGATGTTCAAAAGAATGTTGTCTTAATACCCGTAGAGCTATGAATGGATATCACTGGATATTCATATACCTTGATACTTGTCTTCCATGTAGCTGTCTGAAAAGAGAGCCTTTTAAAATTTTGCAAATCAATGATTAATATTATGACAGTGAAATTCCTATCCTAACCATGTGCTTGAGTTGAAAATAAGATTTTTTTAAAAAACTATAAGTGTTATGAAGAAATTCCCTACAATAGCAGATTAAAAATTTAAGGCAGATACGTTGTTTTCTGCTTAATCCCAGATATATCTTCAAAAAGCTATCGGATTTCATATCAATTCAAGTAGATTTAGATGTTTAAGAGTAATTGTTTCATAGGATTGATGACACTTGAAGAAACATAATTATGGTCCTCTTCTCCGTTAGATTAAAATAGAACTTGTCATAGCAACAGTTTTAACTCCTATTACTTAGCAGAGCAGCTGCAGTCAAAATTACTTCTTATCATTTATTTTCACTTCACAGACTACAGGTCCCATTGATAATGAATACATACTTATATATAATTATATATTTTTAGAAAGCTTAGATTTACATAAAAAGCATGGTGTAAGATTTAGCATAAGAGAAAGATTTAGCATAAGAAATTGGCAATGACATTTGGGTGCTTTTCAGTTAAAAGAATTAATGCAAGTTGTTAGATGTTAAGATAATGTCCAATGGATACAAAGAAACTTTATTATTTAAAATAATACTATTTCCCATTGATCAAAGAAGAAATTCTAACTTGATTTGAGATGAATGACTTAGTTCAATCATTCTTCCATTATCCCATCAGTTCCTTCCTGCCTGCCTGCCTGCCTGCCTGCCTTCTGTCGCCACCCATCGCCACTGCTACCTATCGCTGCTGCCACCTATCGCTGCTTTTGCACCACCACCACCCATTTTCAGCCTCCATGCATCCTGTTTTTGGCCCATTCCATGCAGCGGGGATAGATGGGAGCAATCCCTGCCACCTAGAATGGGCCGAAAATGGGACGCGCGAAGGTCGAAAAGGGGACACGCGGAAGCAGCAATAGGCGGCAGCGGAGGTGGGCAGCAATGGTGATCCCCGCAGCCTAGAACAGCTAATTGGCGGTATTTCAGGAGGCCAAGCCAACCACCATGTGCTAAATCAGGATGTGCTAAAGCTGACCAGGCTGTTTGCTGCAAGGAGACAAATTGCTGGGAGGCAGAGGCAGAATTTTTTTTCTTGTTTTCCTCCCCAAAAGCTAAGTGGTTCTTATACTTGGGAGCATCTTATAGTCCAAAAAATACGGTAATAAATAGAAAAGTATTTTTTTAAAAACCAACTTCTGTTACATGTCCAGAGATTAGAGTGTCTTTTGATCAACCCCCCAGTGCTTTTAAGAGTTCAATGTGTGTTCATCCACATGAAAGAGTTTCCTTCCGCACTTGACCAACCTTTCAAGGGTTGCTTCCATTTCAGGAGCTGAATTCTGCTCTGGTGGAACGAGATCGAGCCATTTGTGAAAGGAACGAGCTCTTAGAGAAATACTGCCACGAAGTGAAGGACAAGGCCGAGGCCCAGAAGGAACTGGACCAGGCGTGTAAGGATATCGAGACCGTGAAGGAAGAGAGGGATGTCGCCCGGAAGGAGAGGACAGAAGCCATCATCCAAAGAGACCATTTATTAAGAGAATACTATCAAGCTCGCCAGGTAACAGTGTTAATCTTGTAAAAATTGCAATGTGGGATTCTGTTTCCTTGGAGGTTCTCTTTTTCTATGCCCATCAGCGGGTAATATGCATTTAATTTATATCGGAATCGTGACTGGTTTATAAACAGCAGGTAAACCGTCAACTTATGACTATTACTGAGTCCAAAATTGCTGACAATTGTGAATTGCTCAACCATACTAGGCAACCGATAGCTGCAGAAAAAGTGCCCCAAGGCAGTTCCGTCCTCAGCTTCGTACACCCATGTTTTCGTATTGTCTAAGTAGCAAAGCTACTAAGACCTGGCTGTTCCGGCAGCCCTGGGGCAGTTAAATCTTTCAGCCCCAGCCGAGGTTACGACTGTTGTGTGTTTTTAAACTGTTTGNTCAACCCTGAGCCGGTGAGATTTGAACCGCTGAACTGCTGATCTAGCAGTAGCCTGCAGTGCTGCATTTAACCACTGCGCCACCTTGGCTCAGAATCTGTCAGAACTGGCTGAATACCACCTCTGTTGTAAGCTGACCTGTACATCATTAGCTTTCTCAGCACTCCAGCATGTTCCACGATGTTTAACTAGCCTTGAAAGGAGGATCAATCCTGGGTGGGAGACCACTCAAGAATCCCAATTTTATGAGGTAAATGGGAAAGTAAAAACAAAACAAAACAAATAAACCATCCCTTATTGGAAGATAGCATTGAGAAGTCATTTCTGGATTGCGGCCAAGAAAACTACTTGGAACTGGTTATCAAATTGACAGGTATTGAGTGTGAGTCAAAACTTTACTTTCTTATATATTGCTGCACAAGGGGAATGAAAAACAGCAGCAAATAAGCTATATATATTTGTTCACTTCGTCTATAGCATTCCCAAAACCAATATAGTTTTGTTTCTAGGGCAATGTTAATCTTCCTCCTGCTTTGCAATTCTATACTAAAAGCATTATTTGCAGTTATTTACCCCCGATGGAAGAAGAAGAAAAAAACATGTTAAGGCGATAAGTATGTAGAGGTGGATATTAATGTATGATATGAATATGATACGTTATAAAAATAGATGAGAAAAATGCATGGAAAAGAAATTTGAATGGGAGAAAAAGTGAAGCAGACAAAAATCTGTTTTTCCCCTTTAAACCATCACCTTCAGAAAGCATTTCAAAATATAAAAGCAGAATAAAAATAAGAAGATTGCTATCTGATACTATTCACATATTATCACATTCAGTAAGATCAGTTTTCAGTAATATGCCTATTAAAATGCTATCTTTTCTTGAACAAAAACCTTGTTCCTAAATATTTTAATGATAAAACATGGAGGGGGGCATGCTTGATTTCTTAAGAGTGCGGCAATAAGAAAAAAGAGTGGTTTTTTAAATATACACACATACATAAACATACAAACATACACACCCCACATGTGTATTTGTGTTTGTGTGTGCATTCTGTCCCTCAAAGATTCTGAGGTATTTTTCATTTGAGTAAAGGCAGGACAAGTTCAACTTTTAATTAGCAGGATATGAAAAGAGTTTCAGGTTAGATAAGGCTGGTTGGAAAGAGCATGGTGGAATAGGAGCCACCACTAAAAAGGCCCTGTAATTAACCCCCACCAATTCAAAGGTATCTGCAGGGAGGGGGCTCAAACAAGCAAGTCACGGATCGTAATCACACAATTAAAGCCCGATAGTTTTTACAACGCATCACCTGGTTGTCGCTAGCATCGTGATTTTTTTATTTGACCTTTTCCTGAAATTCCTTGTGCTCAAGTCAACAGAACAAATCTCTTAATAAAAGTTAGAGTGATAGAGCGCTGAAATTAATCAGCTTACTGTGTGTGGAACATAGTTTTAAAAAAGTCATTTTATTTTGCCGGCTCACAGAAATATAATAGCTTTCTGTACTTTTCCTTTACTTTGCAGGGGGGAGAAAATCTCTCTTTTTTTTTCACCCTTTTTGAAAACCATCTTTCATACAAAAGGTACTGCAAAAAAAAAAGATTATTTATGGAGCAATTTGCCAAGAAGATTGTTTCTTGGAATTAAGTTATTTTACATCTTTGACAGGCTGCATAGCAATGACAAATGTTACACTACTAGTAGTTAACTAAAGATGGAACCAAGCAGATCTTTCAGCTCAGGTTGCTTTCTATATATAATGTTCACAGAAGCAGAACAAAAGGGAAAACATTATCTTATGTGAGTGTCAATTCTGTTAATGTTCCAATTAACAAATGTTCAGTTAATTGGAAGGACAGATTTGGGGCGTGGCATCCAAAATATTAGCAATCAAAGCGAAGCTATCAACCTACACCGTTTTAATCTGCATCACTTGGGTGAAATATATGAAAAAAAAGATGGAGCTTTGGTCATATGGATACATCTTGATCTCTTTGAAATATTATTTAATTTTGCTCTAAGACTGCAGTAATACATTGTATTATTTTGCTACAGAAATATTTATTAATACTTACGATAACTTTAATATTTCAAAGATAAGGAAAAAAGTTTATATCAATATTAGCTGTGGTTTCTAAAATGTTAACATTTTTAAATCCATGGTTGCTTTAATTGTATATCTACAATTGATAAAGAGCAACAAAGTGCATTAAAGGATTCGGGATCCAATCTAGGTCAGTCACAGGTACCAGATGTTTAGTCTTCTGAGCTTTCCGACAGAAATATATTTCTACTAGTCAAGCACACCTTCTGGTGAGAGAGAGGTTCCCTCCAATCCCTCCAATCACCTCCACTCGACCTATTAGATCCCATAGATTAGGCCTCCTCCGAGTCCCATCTGCCGGTCAATG